ATTGACTGACTGACTGACTGATTAGCTGGCTAGCTAGCTGGCTGGCTGACTGACTGACTGACTGACTGACTGACTAACTGACTGACTGACTGACTGACTGACTGACTGACTGACCGACCGACCGACCGACTGACTGACTGATTGACTGGCTAATTTTGAAATTTCAAGTAAAGAATAATAAATGAATGAATGTAACTGAATTAGGATTATCTTTCTAAAGAATGTTGACGTCATCAACTACGTCATCGTCATTATCATTATTTGCATCATCATCATCTTTTTCAACTGCAGCATCGTCATTCTCATCGTCGTCGTTGTTTAATTTAATCGCGACAACAACAAAAACAACAACAGCTACAACAACAGCAACAACAACAACGTCGAATGACATTAACAAGAATTATAAAGGAAATGTTAAAAGTGATTTTATTGTTGATAATGTTTCATTTCAACAACAACTACAACTATTAAGAATTTTTCAACAGTCTGACACATTAAAGTTCTTGCAACATCAAAGAGAGCTACAACAATCACAAAGATTACATCAAAAACCAAACCGACAAAGAAAAATACATCAACATCAACAACATCATCATCAACAACAACAACAACATCATCATCAACAACAACAACATCTACAACAACATCTACAACAACATCAACCCGAATTTGAAAAGTCTGATAAGAACAATAATTTCAAAACAAACTTACAGCTCGCTATTGATAACCACATAAAGAATTTCAACAATCCTAGCGACACAACAAACCAAATATCACTATCATCATTTTCGTCATCATCATCATCATCCTCATCATCATCTTCTTCTTCTTCATCATCATCACCATCACCGCCATCAAGCCAATCAAATTCATTTTTATTTTCTTTATTATCATCATCAATCTCGTCATCATCATCGTTGACATCGTCATCATCATCATCATCACGCCCAATTATGACGTCATCAGGCCAGGAAAAGTCACGTGACTTCGTGACGCGTTCGCCGAAGAAGATGAAGTTGAAGTTTAACGTTGAAAGTTTACTTGAAATTAAACAAAATGTTGACGAGTTTGACGAGAAACAACAACAACAACAACAAGAACAACAAGAACAACAACAACAACAACAACAACAACAGCAACAACATTACTATCAACATAACTCACCGCTTTCTCCGTCATCATCATCGTCATCATCATCACCACGTCATCATCATCATCGTCATCATCATCATTTTTCTTCATCATCTTCACAATCGTCGTCATCACCACCACAGCCACAACATCATCATCATCATCAACAACAACAACATCATCAACAACATGCAACAACAACATCAACAACAGCAACAACAACAACAACAACATCGTCAACAAACTCCTCATCCGATTTTCAATTTATTCAGCAACCCAAACTTCCAACAACATCATCAGCATTCTCTACAGAAACAACAACCAGCTCATTTGTACTTACAAAACAACAACCACATCATGAACAACAACAACAGCAGCAGCACTACACACCACCACCACAGCAACAACAACACAACAGCAACAACAGCCACATCAGCAACACATTTGAAGAAGAAACGCTCTTGGTCTAGGGCAGTTTTTTCAAATTTGCAACGAAAAGGTTTAGAGAAGAGATTTGAAATACAGAAGTATGTGACTAAACCTGATAGGAGACAGCTTGCAGCCATGCTAGGCCTAACTGATGCCCAGGTTTTTGTTTATTATTTAAAATTATTTTTATCATTCATAATTAATTTTATTATTTATAATTGTTTCTATTTTTTATAATTATTTTTGTTATCTATAATTATTTTTTTAATTCATAATTAGTTTTATTATTCATTCAGCAGCACACACGCCATAGTACATGGCAAAAACATATTCATTAGGTTTAATTATTCATTAGGTATAGTTATTATTCATTATATATAATTATTCATTAGGTATAATTATTCATTAGGTATAGTTATTATTCATTATATATAATTATTCATTAGGTATAATTATTCATTAGGTATAGTTATTATTCATTATATATAATTATTCATTAGGTATAATTATTCATTAGGTATAGTTATTATTCATTAGGTATAATTATTCATTAGGTATAATTTTTCATTAGGTAAAAGTGTGGTTTCAAAATCGACGAATGAAATGGCGGCACCTAGAAGAGACAGCCAATCACAAAGGAAAAATCGAAAATCAGGTCAACCAGTCGGCCAATAAGATCGATGAAAAGAAGATCAAGTTCGATGATGACGATGATGATGACGTCAACGACGATAATGATGACGACGACGATGACGATGATGGCCTTAACAACATCAATAACAACAATAATAATGTCAGTAATAACAACAATAATAATTTTAATAAAAAATCGCTTGACTACAGTAAGGGCAAAAACTCAACCTACCTGTGCGACAACAACAACAACAACAACGAGAGCATAGGCATGAGTGATTTCGACGACGACGACGATGACAATAATAACAATAATAATAACATTCATAATAGTAATAATAATAATAATAGCGGCGGACTTCAGGATGGCTAAATGAAGTGTCACTTCGCTCCTTCCATTGTTTATTTCATTGGTTTGTCTTAGAAATTAATTTGAACTACCTGATGAGCAGTTTGCCAACGCATACACCCACAAGCACACACACACACACATACAAACAAACGAACTCACGCACGTATACAAACACGCATACACATACACGCATACATACAAATATATTAGACACACACGCTCACATACAAACACACATACTCATTTATGTATATTTCAATTTTTTGACTTATTTAAGATTTAAAAGTGTTTTTGTTTGTGTAAAACTTACATAAAAAGTTTTATAAATATGGTCCTATATATGTGCGTATATATGTGTATGTATGTGTGTATATATGTGTGTGCATGTGTGTGTATGTGTGTGTGCGCGCGCGTGTGAATTGTATACAAATAACTAAATAATTAAAGCCTAAATGGCGATGATTAACGAATAACCGAATTGACGACGAAAGGTTGCATGTTTGGATTTAGATTGAAACGATTGATATGCATGTGTGTGTGTATGTGTGTGTGTGTGTATGTTTGTAAGTTTGCATGTATGTATATGTGTGTATGTTTTGTATGTATGCAGGTTTGCATATACACATGTATGTATGTGTATGTTTTGTATGTATGAAGGCTTGCATTTATGTATGCATGTGTGTGTGTTTGTGTGTGTGTGTGTGTGTGTGTGTATGCAAGTTTGCATGCATGTATATATGTATGCGTGCGTGTATAGGCACGTGTATACATGATGAATAGATTGATTGATTGAATGTTTGAAAGGACATCACAAGCGGACGATGAGAATATAATGTGATTAATATCTTTTGAATGCTTTATATTTGTAGTTATCGTGGTAGTAGTAGCAGTAGTAGCAGCAGCAGCAGCTGTAGCAGTAGTAGTAGTATTAGTGGTGGTGGTATAACAAAACTGAAAGATAGAAAAAAATAGATTTACAAATTAAATTTTGAAATTAGAAGCTGGATTGGTTCAATGTACCTTTTGGAATTTTCATCCCTCTACAAAAAACAAAAAATATATCCAGATACAAAATGATACAAAAAAGTATTTAGATATACTATTACAAAATGATATACATAAATATAATATGATATGGCAAAACGCTAAGACTCTGATAATACTTGTTCCAACTTAATCTTCAGACTGTATGTTAAGTTGGGGCGAACCGCTCCAACTTTAAAGTTTGTGTGTGATGATTGTATCTATGTCTGGTGTAGTTGTAATAGTTGTTAACTGTAGTGGTGATTGTAGTAATGAGAGTTGTTAACTTTTTAATTTTAATTGTTAGTTTTTGAAATTTTAGAACACATCGAGGCATTCATTGAAACATTTATTGAACAATTAATACGTCAAAAGAATGATCGTATGTATCTATTCAAGGAAATCCATTTCAACTCTTTTTCATTCTCACTCTTACAAGTGGGTCTTGTATTTGAAGTCGATGCCCTTAATGTGGTTGACCAGCCATTCCTTGGCGGCTGTAACTTTTTCAACCGGGATCGGAACGTGTTGGGCGTCCAGCTGCTTCTCGAAGTCGTCATGGATGTGTTTGTGGTTGTCGTAGTCACTGAAATGAGCGTCCTTCATCATACCCTGCAGTGATTAAATTCAATATTTTAAATTACATGAGACTTCATTGGAGGGTCAGGTCTCATTTTTCTACCTCTTCGAATCTGAAATGCTTCTCGATGACATCTTTAAGTGCCTCATAAGTTGCAGAGTCGGATGGCTTATGTTCCACATTGAAGATGCCTTCAAACAATCCTTTGTGCTGCTCGTCTAACTTCTCGTACTGCAAATAATTAGAATTTCTACAGTTTCTGTTATATTCCAGTGAGGGAATTATTAAAAAGTTATTACTAACATCAACTTTGAAGGAGACATCCCAATGGAACGGATCTGGGATGTCGAAGGCCAATGTGGCGGCAACACAGGCAACGAGTAGTACGAGGACCTTCATGTTGTTCTTTGCGAGTTTGAATCTCAGATTGAATTCAACTTCGATGATAATCCACTGAAACTTGCCTCCTTTTATAGCTCTTCTGATCACAAAGTTCACATTTTGAAGCTCACCAGCAAGTTATATCGCGTGTAAAATTTTTTTTGAAAAAAGGTGAACTGAGGTAAAAATTTATCCTGATCGTGGATTCGTATAAGGTTCATTTTTATAAAATTAAAATTCATTTTATACATATATAAATTTTAATAACATTACAACATGTTATTAATTTTTATCTCAAATCTATAAATAACTGTAGTTTATTAGCATCCAACTAGCTGTTACTTTGCACGTAGCTCAAAAACTCTAGTTCGCTCTTTGGAATTTAAAGTCTCAGGTGAAGAATAATTTTGGGTTCCGTTAAAATCAGTAATTTAATTTTTATTATTTTAAATTTTGTGGCTAAAAGATTGAAAAACTGAAAACTGCTCACAGGTTGGCGCTTACTTCCTTCTTCGTCGATGGGGCACTTTACATTCTTTCGTACATTCACCATTTCTTGGATTTGTGACTGAGTTTGTTATTTCACAACTCTGTGATGTTGACTGTGGTTGAATTTATTTTTGTTTATTAACAATTTTTTTATGTTTCAGTTAAATTTGTTTTTTTTTTATTTGTTTACAATTTTTGTTGGCTGTAGTTCAACATGTTTTTTGACCAAAACGGACACAAACATTCTTTTTGAACTGACAAAAGGTGTCTGATATTTCTTTCACACTAAAACAATTTATTGGGCTTCAGAATAACTGAAAAATAAAATCAAAAACTAATTTAAAGTTTTTATTGAATAATATTACAAAAAAACAAGTAAAGTATCATATATTTTCAATCATTTCTGTGATCGTTTTGTTAGAAGTTATACAATTTCGTCTGATTAGGTTAGTATGAATATTGAATAAATATGAACTTTGTCATAGTGATTTTGAAAATTCAATTTTAGTTCCTACATAACAGCACACACATTTACATTTCACAGTTTTTTGAGAGGTTTCGAGATCATTACACTAAACTTTTACGTCATCATCATCATCTGCTGTCTGCCAGTCCAAGGCGGCATTAGCTAGTCACAAAGAGCCTCTATCTTCTTCTATCTTTTGTAATTTTCCGGTTTCTACAATGTTCATGTTAATCATTTTGAAGTCTTCTTTGTTGTTGTCAGTCCAACTCTTCTTTGGATGACATCAACAATTTTGATCGAGTGATATTTGCAAAACACACTTTGACGGACTCATTAAAACTAAGCTATTTTTCAAAAGATTTTTTGAACTAAACTTGTTGGACGTAAAACTATTCACAAAAAATCTCTGACTTTATTTCGCAATCAAATTTCAAGGCACAGCTTCTAGATGCAGGATACTTCATTCAAAGCCTTCAACTAAAACACGTTTGTCATCGCCGAAATACCCACACTGAAGTCAAAGTTTGCCCTTGCGTTTGAAGCCGGTTTCTCCGATGTGACTAGACCAAATCATGTAAATGGGGTTTGGTAACATATCAAGCTCTGGATTCAAAATCTTCATTGAAGTGTTTGTGATGATGGGAACCATTGTATAATAATAATAATGGCAAGTGATAGAGGCACATTATTATCGTTACAACAAAAGCACAGTGTATATTTACATCTAAATGAACACATCACACACTTTAATTCTACCAGTTCAAAATGCTCCTCTATCGTATAATCATAAAATTGTAACAGAATTTCTTTGTGGTGCAATTTTCTTAAAACTTGTTGTTTAAACTTTATGTAAGTCAGTATGTATCTCAAATGTTATTTTTAGTTTTGGATCTGTTTGTATTGTTTGCTTTCTTTAGAACTTTTAACGAATAAACTCCACAAAAGTGATAATTGAGCAATTTATTTATCTATAAATTTTATGATTAATCAATAAAATTAATTGAATTATTAATATATCAAGAACATTCATCTGAAAATTTATATAATAAATCTTCGTCCCCTGGAAAATGTTTATGAGATTAACTATGATTGGTCAAATGGCCCTTGTATTTAAAATCGATCTTTTTGATATGGTTGACCAGCCTGGGACAAAAAAAATGTTCATTTTATGAAATGAATAAATATTAAAAAAGTTGAAAAAAATATTTATAAATAATATTTAAACTATAATAAAATAAATAAAAAGAGGTATATTTTTTACTCAAGAGCAATAAAATCGTGTTATAATCTTTCTATATAAGGCGTTGCTACTGAAAAATTATAATAAAATGATAGAAAAAAATCATCCTAAATAATTACGAACAATTATAAAGGTAAATTTTTTTAATAAAGTTTAAAATAATATCGAAAATATTTATCAATAAGAAAAAAATAATTATTTTCAAAATTTTTCCAACCATTCTTTGGCGCGTTGGATCTTTTCGGCCGAGACGGGCGTATGTACTGGTCTCATGTCTTTCAGGAAATCTTTGTGAATTTGATGGTGGGTCTGGTAGTCGCTGTAATCGGCATCTTTCATCATTTTCTAAGGAAAGAAGTTTCATTCTATTTAATGAAACTATCAAACTACGCTGTTATTATTATGATCTTGATCAAATTATAGAACAAAATATTAAAAAGTTATGAAAAATTTATGAAAATTGAAGAAAAAGTTATAAAAAAGTTTAAAAAAATTGACCTCCTCTGTCTTGAAGTGTTCAGTAAGAACGTGCTTGAGGTGACTGAGGGCAGAAGCGTCAGATGGGCTCTTGCAGACGTCGAAGATGCCCTTGAACAACCCCTTGTGCTGCTCGTCCAGTTTGTCATACTGAGGAATTTAAGGGGTTTTGTCAGTTTTTTGGGGTATTTAATAAAATTAAAATTGATTATTTAGAAAATTGATGCAAATTTACTAACGGAAACTTTAAAGGAAACGTCCCATTGGAATGGGTCCGGGATTGTCTCAGCCAAACTGACGACCAAGCAAGTTGCTAACACGACAAGGAACTTCATCTTCTTCTTTCCAAGTTTAAATCTCAAATTATTTGAAAGTTTGAGTTTAATAAAATTGTTGAAAAATTCCCCGCTTATATACACGTCCTCTCAGCTAAAATCCACTCAACTTGATTGTAGATTTTGTGTTAAAATGTCAAGTTGAGGTCGGCCAAATTAATGTCATCATCACTGAGGTCGAGGATTCTTTTTTAAAAGTTCAGAGTTCAAAGTTCATTGGGATATCATTTAAAATAGAGATTTCAAATTTTCACAATAAAATAATGACGTTTTTCCTAAAATATGTAAACCCAGATACACGTACCTACGTAATTCCGACACAAAAATAAAATTGTTTATTTACACTAGTATGCGTATATATGTGCGTATGTGTGTGTATGTGTGTGTGGGGTTTGCGTGTGTTTGTGTGTGTGTGTGTGGTGTTTGTGTTTGTGTGTGTTGTGTGCGTATTCAAAGAAAGCAGGCTAAACTTTTCCAAAATAAGGTAACGAATTTTGCACTTAGTACTCAGCTTCTTACAAAATTAAACCGGTGAAGCGTGTACTGTTGTAAGTTTAAAAGGTCTAAAAGGTTTTAAAGGCTGTGTGTTTCATGTGTGTGTTTGTATGAGAGCATGTATATTTGCATGCATGCATGCCTGTGTGGGTTTATGTGTAGCAATGTGTGTATGTACATGTGTGTGTGTGTGTTTGTGTGTGTTTTTGTGGGTGTGTGTATTCATGTATGTTAGAATTTAGATCGAAAATGGTTAAGTAGTTAACGGTGCTATTGTGAGATGGGGACAAGGTTTGAATGCAAGCAGATCCCTATCTTTCACGTGCAATCTGTGCGTGCGTGTATGTGCGTGAGGAGTGGATTCACACGTACACAGATGCGTGCATGTATATGTGTGTGTGTATGTGTGTGTGCGTGTGTGTTGGTAGAGTAACATAATTAAGATTATACGTTATACATACAAATTATACAGCACATATATGCAATGCTACCAAATAAACTAATATACAATGATACAAAACAAACATACTATCATAAAAACTATCTACACGTCAATACAAAACACACAGTTATACAAAACATGTTTACAACGTTATACACACATATACAACCTTACAGGACATATACACAACGATATACAAACATATAGAGGCATACAAAACATTCACACAATCATACCATAGAAACATACATTCTACAAAACCTCTACCCATCAAGACAAAATCAAAATTACCCCCCACTAAACACAAATACTTCAATAAAACATGATGTCTTTTTGGAAATTTAATTTGAAAAACCATTAACAACTTGAACATATAAAATGAAAAAATGATTTATTTTAGTATAGTACAACACAAAGGCTTTATTGTATTTCAAATTCGCCAGGCTATGAAAATCATTCAAATTGTGTGAAGCTTGCCACTTCATATTTTGACAGCAGTTTTCAGCGTTTTATCTGAAAAGTTCGTTGGTTGGTTAGTTGGTTGACAGTTGTGACTTGAATTAATACCCCCTTCATTGTGGTTGTTTCAAAATTATGTATGTTTGTTAGAATCGTTCTTAAAAATTTTAATTTGTATATATAGCTTGGTAAAGTTTTTAATTTTCTGTGGTTGCGGATTTTGCGGTTGGTTGTGGTTGGTCGCGGTTGGTTGTGGTTGGTCGCGGTATCAGTCGAGAGCGGTTGCAGGTTGCAGTACCTAAAAAGTTCAACAATGGAGCTCCTTTTTCAAGTATTTTGTTATTGGGTGAGTGTAGTTAAAACATTTACGATTAATACGACAAAAATTACATTAATAACAACACCTACTACAACAATTACAACGACAACTATGACGATTATGTTGTATTGAAGTCATTTAGTGTCATGAAATGCAAGAATTCGATTTTCAATTGAAAAAAATTCCTTCACAGTTTTCTTCCCTGATAAATCTCCAATAACAACAATGTACGTCTATGTATGTTTTTCAAGGATTTTAAAAATTAAACCAAATTATTTTTAAAGTTTCAAAATTATTTAATTTAAAATTTCAGAGTGGTATATACATAACTAGTTAGTCCTCGCCAGAAGGCCTCGATCAACCATTTAGCTTTCCTTTATATTTGAAGTCGACGAGTTTAATATGGCTAACTAACCTGAAAAAAAATAGCAAAAGTAAATTATTAAAAAACAATAAAATGTTTAAAAGTATAATTATAAAATGTATCTTGTCAACTTTAGAAATAAATAAATGTGAAAAATGTATTAATGAAAGCAGACAGGCGAATAAAATATCGGGTATCTCAATACGATAATAGAGTAATGAAAAAAATCTGACCACTGTTTGACATAGTTGACTCTGTCGAGGACGTTCGTGAAATACTTTCTTTCGCCTCGCTCAGCGACGTACCAGTGAACCATTTTGTGCTTCTCCAAGTCTGGGTACTCTGCGTCCTTCATCATTCGCTAGAATAATAATAATAATAATAATAATCATAATCATATTATTCATTATAATTATAATTAAAACAATTATTATTAATGTTATGGTATCAGGGTTGTGATGCCTAGGAACAGTTTCGCAGTGACTGGTTTCAAATACAAATGAGAGTTCACATGCACTCTGTCTTTCTGGCTGATTTCTTTGAGAAACATTTTGAGAGTTGATTATAACAACAACAACACAGCAACAACAGTAACAATAATAAAAATAACAAAATTAATAAGAAAAAGTTAAACCTCTTCAAACTCGAAATGGTTCCTCAAAGTCACTTCGGCAAGTTTCAACCGATTCTCATCGTCCAAATGCTCCTCCACCTCGCGGATCACTCTGAACAATTCTTTGTGCTGCTCGTCAATTTTATCGTACTGTGCCGTACAAAATTTCAGCTAATTAACCACCACACAACTATTTGTATGTTTAAGCGTGTCAGCGTTTATCGTCGTGCATTTATATACAAACATATACATACATACAAACATATACATACATACAAACAAATACATACATACAAACATATACAAAACATATACAAACGCACACAAAACCGCCACAAATACAAACAAGAACGTATAAAAACTTACAAACAAATACAAATACATACAAACGCATACAAACACACAGAAACACATACAAATACATACAAATACTCTAAAAGATTCATCCCATTCATAAGGAGATGGAATTTCATAGGCCTCCATAGCAACAACAGTATATACAAATAAAACTATTACAATAACTCTCATTTTTTTCTAAATTTAAATATAAATAGCGAAAATTTTTCATTTAAAATTGACAAAATTCTACAAAAGCTTGTTTTTTTTCTTCAATTTGAATTCTGAGATATATTTAATTGATAACAAATCTATAAATTTTATAAGCTTAGGAACTCTTAGAAGATAACAAAATTTACTGAATTAGAAACGTCTTGTTTACATCATTTATATTAATTCATATTATAATATAATTACAATATATTATAATATTTACATTATAATATAATATATACTTGAAATATATACATATATCTATAGGCATACATTCATGTTTGGAAAATTTTATCATGTAAACAGTTACAAAGTTTAGCCTTAGGTTAAGGTAGTGCTGACATTGTGTTATGTTTAATGGTAAAAATCCTTAATTAAGTTAGTTATTTTGGTTCAATAAAAATGATATACAAATGATACTAAAAACAGTATCAAATTATATATGATATATACATATATATGAAATACGAAGCTGAATACAAATGATATTAAAATCGAAATAAAAGACAAATGAATCTATCTACATGTGCTACACGATATAAAATACGAATGATACTATCTACAAATGCGATATAAAATACAAATGATACTGACTAAAAATGATACTAAACGAGGATTAAGTTGGCTGTTAGATTATTTCAAATTCGCAAATTAAATAAATAAGTTAAATTGAAAAATGTATATAGCGAAACTGTTTACAATTCAAAAATCTTACAGGCAAGGCAATGTACATACAGTTGAATTTAGTTTGAAATGTATACAGAAACTAGTCAAACTGGTAACTAATTTTGAATTAAGTTTAAAACGATATATCATTTTTCTATATTTTTTTTTACAAATTTATTTTAGTTAAAAAGTTTTATTCAGGTTAAAATGACGATGTTGGCGATGTAGCAACTACTTCTGTACATTTAGTTGATGGGTTGATGTGGTTTCCTAGCCTGCAAAAAGATGAATGTATTATATCTACCAGCTACTAATACTATTTATGCTGCAACTACTACTACTACTACTACTACTACGACTACTACGACTACTACTACTACTACTACTACTACTACTACTACTACTACTACTACTACTACTACTACTACTACTACTACTACTACTACTACTACTACTACTACTACTACTACTACTACTACTACTGCTACTACTACTACTACTACTACTACTACTACTGTTGTTCTGCTTCTGCCACTACTAGCTTTAATAAAAATAAATCCACAACAACAACAAGAATAATACAATCAAACAGCAACATTTTTCAACAAATTCAACTTTTTCACTCAATGACGTCATATATTTTGTCTCATCCATTTCCACCGAATTCAAACTCCATTGAGTGTAACTCTAAATCATAATATCCGACGTCCATCATTAATTTGAAAATGTCAAACAAATTAGTTAAATTTAAGAAACTTATCCGAATTATTGACTATTTTTGAGAAAATGTTTAACAAAATGATGACAGTTAGTACCGTTGTGTGAAAGGATTCTACGAACTTTTGGCATTTTTTACTGTGTTGCTGAAAATTTTCATGAACTGATGGCTTTTGACAATAATTAACGAAAGAGTTAAAAACGCCAGTGTTATTTTAGATTCTTACGCACATGTTGTGAGTCAAGAAATTCTTAGCTGCACTACATATATTCTCTGAGCGCTTTTGGTGATCCAATTTACGATTGTGAATGACCATTTAAGCGAGTTAATGTGGATTTTGTTATCATCTCTCTTTCTCTCTCTTTCTCACTTTTTCTCACTTTCTCACTCTTTCTCACTCTCTTTTCTCAGATTCTCTTTGTAGTTCAATATTTCATGTTTTAATGTCTAATTTTAAACAGAATTTAGCTGTAGCAGAACAATGAATAACACAATTTTTTATATTTTACGATATTTAATTTAAAACATTCTAAATTTTTAAATTTTCTAAATTTTCTAAAACAGTGGAAAAGATTTCAGATTTATAAAAGGGTCTTGTATTTGAAGTCGACGCCTTTGATGTGGTTGACCAGCCATTCCTTGGCGGCCTTGACGTCATCAGCTGCAACTGGAACTTGTCCTTCTTTCAATCTGGCTTCGAATCCGTCGTGCGCTTTTTTGTGGTCAGCGTAGCCGGCGTAATCCGCAGCCGTCATCATACCCTGAAATGTTTTTCACAAAAATGTTTAACTCATTTATGATGAAATTGAGCTGAAAAATGAATTTTCTGAATGAAGATTTGGAAACCTCTTCGAATCTGAAATGTTTTTCGATGACATCCTTAAGGTGGGCAAGAGCAGCAGCGTCAGCAGGGGCAGCGCAGACGTCGAAGATGGCCTGGAACAGTCCTTTGTGCTGCTCGTCCAACTTCTCGTACTGCAGATTCCAAATTTTTAATTGATCAATCAAATTAAATTAATTTTACAGAAAAAACAAAATAAACAAATTAAACAAATTTTACGGATTAAAAAAATTAAACAGTTTGAACAAATAAAAATAATTAAAAATGGATTACAAATCCGGGTGAGGTACTTACATCAACTTTGAAAGACTCGTCCCACTTGTATGGTTCTGGGATATCGAAAGCCAAGGTAGCGGCAAAGCAGGCAGCGAGGAGGACGAGAACCTTCATCTTGTTCTTTGCGAGTTTGAATCTCAGATTGAATTCAACTGTGATGAAAACTTTAAAAACTCACCTACTTATATACCACCGAACAACTCAAAGTTCACTGTGCCTGAGTTTCAGACTTGTGTGAGTGTTTCGGAAGAAGAACTACGTGAAGAGGGGCAAACTCTTATCTATTAAGAGCATGGATTCCATTGACGTTGAAGTAGCGTTCATAATTCAAATGACATTCATTTTCCAACGTGATGAAGTCATGTATGTCTCTATTTTACGTGGTACGACGTGTCAAATTTTATAGATGTCATTCAACGATAGATGTATAAATCACTGTTAAGCTTTGTGAAAATGGACTCTGAACACGTTACTGTCATCTTATTAGAACTTTCACAACTTTTCATCTTGAGACATTTCGAAAATGAATTAGTTGCGAAATGTTCCACTTAAAATCTTCTTTTAGAATGACATGTAAGCAATTTTGCGTTGTTTGACAGAGCTGCAATATAAAAAAAATTTTTTAAACTTTTTTTAAATTTTCACCAAAGTGGGCAGGGCCGGATTTTAAGGAGGGTAGTTAGGGCTACGACCTTTGGGCCCCAAAAAAGAACGTAGTTTTATTTGCAAATTGAATTTCTGTTTTCAGGACAAACAATTGTTTTGATAATTTTTTAAAAATGCAATTAAATCTTTAAATTATATTATTCTTTGCATCAATGGTGAAATTATAAAGTAAAAACTTCCACCTTCGACAAGATTAAGTCTTCCCCGATTGAAATTCATGAAGCGTGCTAGGTGTGTGTGTTGATAATTTCAAAAGTTAGTTCTGATCCAGAATTATTTTTAAAAATATGTTTTCTTTTTTAAAAATTTTCATTAAATAAGCATTTTCATCGAATATTTTTTTTATCAAGTTTCAAGCATTCCGTGCAGTATTTTGCATTGAAATTCGTTAAATTTTTTTGTAGGTACTTTAATTTCTAATTACGATAGTCATTTTAACAATGTTTTACAGCTTTAATTTGATGAAAAATATTTATAACGGAACAGTTTTTCACTTTTAATTTCCCTCTCACATAAATTTATTCTTATGTTTCAAGGTATGTCGCTAAAACTAAATACTCAGTAAGTCTGCTGATGAAATGGGGATCTCAGTTATGTGCTATTGAAAATTATAAATAAAAAATAGCAAGTGTCTGGTGTTCAAGCGTAAGAAATATAATATTTACACAACTTACAAAAAAGTCATTGAAGAGCGCGCTGAAACTCTCAATCAGCAGAGGAGTTCAGACCAAATTAATTTTATAAGAACGTAAACCGTTATTAAAGCTGCTAAATTGTTAGAATGGTTTCTTTTATCGTCAAAATTTTACAAGAATTTCTAAAGTTAAACATGAAAAAATGTATGTGCCTGATTGCATGCTCTTTTTCTCTGATCTTCTGGAAAAGATCTGGTTTATACTCATTACTTATTTATGTACTACTATTTATTTAATGTAAACTGAATATTATGCAAATATTAAACGAGATGGATGAAGTCCGTTTATAATCGAAATACTTAAATCGCTGATGTTTCAGTATTACGGGGTTTAAAGTAATTGATTGAACTTTTTAAATACATTGTATGCATCATGATTAGATGTGCGGTACTCATATTTAATTCAGTTGTTTTAGCTTGAAATTTTTATCGTTCAATTCTTTTCACTTAGATATGCACCGGGAGGTTATTTGGATTTTTTATTCTAAAAACATCACTCACAAAAGCTGAACTATAGTTTTGATAATTGGAGACTAGTGAGGTGCAGCTCATTCTATAATATTTTACTACTACGTACAACATTTTTAAAATTTTTACTATCCCAAGTTTCAAATAAAACGCGTCTAGTTTGTTTTTATAATATTTTATTCAAAAATTCAACTAAAAATGAGTTCACAGCGAGGTAAAAAATTTATGACAATTGACCCTTGTACTTAAAATCGATGCCCTTGATGTGATTGACGAGCCAATCCTTTGCCATCTGAACTTACTCAGCGGCAACCGGAACCTGTCCTTTCTTCAATGCGGCTTCGAAAGCTTCGTGGATACTTTTGTGGGCGTCCAGATCAGCGTAATGAGCATCTTTCATTATACCCTGAAATATATCATTCGCCAGGGTGTTAGAATCTTTTCTAACAAAAAAAATAATGTTAACAGCCGAATTGATTGTGAATTGAAGAACCTCTTTGAATCTGAAATGTTTCTCGACGACATCCTTGAGGTGAGCAAAAGCAGCAGTGTCAGTCTTGTTTTCGCAGAGATTAGTTGGCCTGGAACAAACCCTTGTGCTGCTCATCCAGCTTTTGGTACTGCGGAATAAAATTTTAAATTGTTTTTAAAATTTTATAAACGAGGACCGATTAGAACTTTAAATAGGCTTTTCACAAAAACTTCAAACGACGGTTCCCACAAGAACAGCTCTGGGATGTCGAAAGCCAAAGTAGCGGCAAAGCGAGGTTGGATCTCAAATTACTTGAAAATTTGATTTCAGTTAAAACATCTCAACTTTTTTTTCTCATATAATCTTTTAATAGTTCAATGTTTTTTGGTTGATGGGGCAAGTTCAAACAAAAACATGTCGTTGAATGGAGCGAGCTGTTTAGAACTATGAGGATGGATTTTTAAAGACTTTGGTTTTTAGCTTAGATACAGGATAGTGCAACGTAGAAATGTGTTCAGTTGAAATCATATACCAACATTATTCAATCGAAATTTTCTAAAATTTAATTTTCATTATAAATGAAATCTAACGTTATTAGTTCTCTAACGTGTTTTTCTTAAATTGAATGTCACAAAAATCGTATTTCAATAATTTTGTTGCTGTCCTCAAAATCATCATTTAATTGCATACATAGTCTATAAATTTCAATTGAATTTATAACCAGATCGGTCGCTGTTTTTGTATGAACGATTGAATATTAGTAATAAATTTTGGATTGACGACTATTCGGTATTATAATACGTTCGTTTGTTAAACTTAATTTTTAATGGGATCAAATTTTTTAGTAAGGTAAGAAACAGTTGTTGATACTTTCTAAATCATAAAAACTAGCTCCAAACTAGAGTCATTTTCAGTACTTCAGACCACAACTTCAACTGAATGCATCCAATCAAACTTGTTGAACACATAAACCGTTGTTTTATTATAAATTTTTCTTATGAATGTATAAAATTATGATTGAAATTTTGAACAGAGTGTTATTAATTAAAGCATTTTTGTTAATTTTTGGTACAAAAAAACAAGAAGAGAAGTTAGATTTGAAACATTTTATTTTGTATCTTCAGTTAGAGCTATACTTATAACTATAAATGGGTTTTGTATTTGAAGTCGGTAAACTTGATGTGGCCGACCAACCATTCCTTAGCGCCTTTGATATCAGCAGCAGCAACCGGAACCTGTCCCGCTTTCAATGCGGCTTCGAAAGTTTCGTGAATATGCTTGTGACGAAGCAGATCATCATAGCGAGCAGCTTCCATCATTCCCTGGAAAATTAATTGTCAAGAATTTAGTTAGATTCATAGTTTTAAAAATTTTGTAAAAGCCGAATCGATGAAAAAACGAGAAACCTCTTCGAATCTGAAATGTTTTTCGATGACATCTTTAAGGTGAGCGAAAGCAGAAGCGTCAGCAGGGTCAGCGCAGACGTCGAAGATGGCTTTGAACAATCCTTTGTGTTGCTCGTCCAACTTCTCATACTGCCGGTTCAAATATTTAATTAATTTGACAAATTAATCTAAATTTATAAATTAATCAAATTAGACAAATTAAACAAGTTAAATTAATTAAAAATGGATTCCGAATTCGTATGAGATACATACATCAACCAAGAAAGAATCATCCCACACGAACGGCTCTGGGACGTCTAAAGCCAAAGTGGCGGCAAAGCAGACAGCAAGGAGGACGAGGAACTTCATCTTGTTCTTTACAAACCTGAATCTCAAAATACTTGAAAATTTGATTTCAATAAAAACATCTCAACTCTCTCTTCATATATACTTTCTTAATAGTTCAAAGTTTATCGGGTTGACGTTGCAATTTCAAATGCAAGCTGTAAAGAATTATTTAGATGGATTTTTAAAGACTTTGGTTTTTAATTTGAAAACAGGATTGTGCAACGTTGAAATGTTTTTGATGTAATCATATTTAAACATAATTTAATTATTAAAAATGAAATCACACAGAATAGGTTCCGTAATATGTTTCTTGAACTGAATGTCATCTGAATCGTGTTTCAATAATTTTGTTGCTGTCCTCAAAATCATCATTTGTTTGCATACATAGTCTATAAATTTCAATTGAATTTATAACCAGATCGGTCGCTGTTTTTGTATGAACGATTGAGTATTAGTAATAAATTTTGGATTGACGATTATTCGGTATTATAATACGTTCGTATAGAAAGATACCACAATGTACCATCTGACTTGGAGCTTTTGTTAAACTTGATTTTTAATGAAATCAATTTTTTTTAGTAAGGTATGAAACAGTTGTTGATACTTTCTAAATCATAAAAACTAGCTCCAAACTAGAGTCATTTTCAGTGGTAACCAGAAAAAAAGCATTCAGGAAAAAATGTCTTCAGAAAAAATATCTTCAGTAAAAATATCTTCATTCAAAAAGGTCTTCCAGAAAAAATGCCTTCAAGAAAAAAAGTCTTCAAGAAAAAAAGTCTTCCAGAAAAAAAGTCTTCCAGAAAAAACGTCTTCAGGAAAAAAAGTCTTCCAGAAAAAAATCCAACGATACTATTTTATTTTTAAAATATTCATACATACAAAAATGAAATTACATTTTTAAATAAAAAATTTGTTACAATAAAAATTAATAAAAATCATAATAACTTTATTATGTTCTTTGTGTATTAATATTATCTGAGAGGTTTATTGGAATGGATTATAGGGTTGTTAAAGTGTTACAGCATGTGCCAAAAACGGTTCTAGGGTTAGGGTTAGGGTTACACCTAGTGACCTCTAAACATAGTTTTTAAAATGTTTTTGAAGGTAATTTCGTTGAATAAATTTTTTTTAAGACTTTTTTCTTGAAGACTTTTTTTCTTGAAGACTTTTTTTCTTGAAGACATTTTTTCTTGAAGACTTTTTTTCCGAAGATATTTTTTCTGAAGACTTTTTTTCCTGAAGACTTTTTTCAGGGATTCATTTTCAGTACTTCAGACCACAACTTCAACTGAATTGCATTCAATCAAACTTGTTGAACACATAACCGTTGTTTTATTATAAATTTTTCTTATGAATGTATAAATTTATGATTGAAATTTTGAACAGCGTGTTATTAATTAAAGCATTTTGTTAATTTTTGGTACAAATAAACAAGAAGAGAAGTTAGATTTGAAACATTTTATTTTGTATCTTCAATTAGAAATATACTTAAAATTATAAATGGGTTTTGTATTTGAAGTCGACGGTCTTGATGTGGCCGACCAACCATTCCTTAGCGCCTTTGATATCAGCAGCAGCAACCGGAACCTGTCCCGCCTTCAATGCGGCTTCGAAAGATTCGTGAATTTGTTTGTGAAGAGGCAGATCGCCATAATGAGCAGCCTCCATCATTCCCTGGAAAATTAATTGTCAAGAATTTAGTTAGATTCTAGGTTTTAAAAATTTTGTAAAAGCCGAATCGATGAAAAAACGAGAAACCTCTTCGAATCTGAAATGTTTTTCGATGACATCTTTAAGGTGAGCGAAAGCAGAAGCGTCAGCAGGGGCAGCGCAGACGTCGAAGATGGCCTTGAACAATCCTTTGTGTTGCTCGTCCAACTTCTCATACTGCCGGTTCAAATATTTAATTAATTTGACAAATTAATCTAAATTTATAAATTAATCAAATTACACAAATTAAACAAGTTAAATTAATTAAAAATGGATTCCGAATTCGTATGAGATACATACATCAACCAAGAAAGAATCATCCCACACGAACGGCTCTGGGACGTCTAAAGCCAAAGTGGCGGCAAAGCAGACAGCAAGGAGGACGAGGAACTTCATCTTGTTCTTTACAAGCCTGAATCTCAAATTACTTGAAAATTTGATTTCAATAAAAACATCTCAACTCTCTCTTCTTATATACTCTCTTAATAGTTCAAAGTTTATCAGGTTGACGTTGCAATTTCAAATGCAAGCTGTAAAGAATTATGAAGATGGATTTTTAAAGACTTTGGTTTTTAATTTGAAAACAGGATTGTGCAACGTTGAAATGTTCTCAGTTATAATCATATTTCAAGATCATATAATTTGGATTTACTAAAATTTAATATTTTTATATGAAACCGAACGTTCTGTAATATGTTTTTAAACTGAATGTTCTAAAATGTAAAACATCTTCACGAACAGTAAAATCAGAATATCAACAAAATTAAAACTGTTAGGGTGATACATTTTTTTTGTACTAACTTACGGCTCTGAGTCCTGATCAATTTCTAAAGAAATATAAAAAAGATTAACGCGGCTGAGATGTGGTTTTTAAGCGGAAATATGAAAATTAATTAGACCTCTCATACTTCAAATGAGGATGTTTTAAAACAGTCCGGTTTTGAAAAGAGGAAATTACTACAGATTATCCAACGGGGGCAGTTGAAGTTTTTTGATCACATCATGCGGAAGGAAAGAATAAAAACTCTAACAACTACTGGAAAGATTGCAGGGAAAAGAGATCGCGGTCAACAACGAATAACATTCGTAAAGTCCTTGTGACACTTGCTGAATATCACCACATTTCAACTACTACAAAGTGTTAAAGATCGGGTTTTGTGGAAGTTGATGGTCGCCAATGTCCTGAAAGGATAAGGCACGAGAAATAGAAGAAGAAACTGACTGTCATTAAAATTGTATTTCAATAATTTTTTAGCTAACTCCAAAATTATCTTTTCATTACATACATAGTCTATAGAAAATTTCTACTGTAATAATGGTGTCTTTGTGCATCTGCTTTTTGTGTTAACTTTATCCATTTTAACTTCCTCGGCGAATTTTGCGGGTAAATGTTTTTTTTTCAGCAACTCCAGATTTCCACATAAATTCGATGGAGTTCTTTCCTTAAATTATTGGGCCAAAAAAAGTTTTGAAATATTGTAAAGTTAAAATATTATCAGAGAGTTAAAATTTTATAAAAAAATTAATTGTAGATATTTTATGCAGAGTGAATAGAAACAGATAGTGAATGTGGTGGGTCTGGTGTTAGTTGTGAAATTGCATTCACTCCCGTTCCCCATATCAGCGAAATCATTCGTGTCTGCGTATTGTGTTTGTGTACTTATCTTTTATCACATAACCGCCAGTCTCCACCGAGTTCACTTTGTTGCAATGCCGTTGGTCAGAGCCCTAGATTGAAGTCCAATAAGTTTAAAAATTTAACATAATTATTAGTGAGCAAGAGAGTCATTGCAACGTTTAAATGATTCAGTGTAATTATCTCTGGCACCTCAGCTGAACAAGTGGTTAGTTTTATAAAACTTTGAAGTTGTGTCCGTAGCTAACGATGAAGGTTAGCAACTTCTTAACAAAATTTCAACAGAAATAATAACAAGATCGGTCGCTGTTTTTGTATGAACGATTGAATATTAGTAATAAATTTTGGATTGACGACTATTTGGTATTATAATACGTTTGTATAGAAAGAAAGATTCATCCCACACGAACGGCTCTGGGACGTCTACAGCCAAAGTAGCGGCAAAGCAGACAGCAAGGAGGACGAGGAACTTCATCTTGTTCTTTACAAGCCTGAATCTCAAATTACTTGAAAATTTGATTTCAATAAAAACATCTCAACTCTCTCTTCTTATATACTCTCTTAATAGTTCAAAGTTTATCGGGTTGACGTTGCAATTTCAAATGCAAGCTGTAAAGAATTATGAAAATTGATTTTTAAAGACATTGGTTATTAATTTGGAAACAGGATTGAGCAACGTTAAAATGTTTTTGATGTAATCATATTTAAACATAATTTAATTGACATTTTCTAAAAGTTAATTATTAAAAATGAAATCACACAGTATAGGTTCCGTAATATGTTTCTTGAACTGAATGTCATCTGAATCGTGTTTCAATAATTTTGTTGCTGTCCTCAAAATCATCATTTGTTTGCATACATAGTCTATAAATTTCAATTGAATTTATAACCAGACCGGTCGCTGTTTTTGTATGAACGATTGAATATTAGTAATAAATTTTGGATTGACGACGATTCGGTGTTATAATACGTTCGTATAGAAAGATACCACAATGTACCATCTGACTTGGAGCTTTTGTTAAACTTGTTTTTAATGGGATCAATTTTTTTTAGTAAGGTAAGAAACAGTTGTTGACACTTTCTAAATCATACAAAGTAGCTCCAAACTAGGGTCATTTTCAGTATTTCAGACCACGACTTCAACTAAATTGCATTCAATCAAACTTGTTAAACACACAACCGTTATTTTATTATAAATTTTTCTTATGAATGTATAAAATTATGAGTTAAATTTTGAACAGCGTGTTATTAATTAAAGCATTTTTGTTAATTTTTGGTACAAATAAACAAGAAGAGAAGTTAGATTTGAAACATTTTATTTTGTATCTTCAGTTAGAATTATACTTATAATTATAAATGGGTCTTGTATTTGAAGTCGACGGTCTTGATGTGGCCGACCAACCATTCCTTAGCGCCTTTGATATCAGCAGCAGCAACCGGAACCTGTCCCGCTTTCAATGCGGCTTCGAAAGATTCGTGAATTTGCTTGTGAAGAGGCAGATCGCCATAATGAGCAGCCTCCATCATTCCCTGGAAAATTAATTGTCAAGATTTTAGATTCATAGTTTTAAAAATTTTGTAAAAGCCGAATCGATGAAAAAACGAGAAACCTCTTCGAATCTGAAATGTTTTTCGATGACATCTTTAAGGTGAGCGAAAGCAGAAGCGTCAGCAGGGGCAGCGCAGACGTCGAAGATGGCCTTGAACAATCCTTTGTGTTGCTCGTCCAACTTCTCATACTGCCGGTTCAAATATTTAATTAATTTGACAAATTAATCTAAATTTATAAATTAATCAAATTACACAAATTAAACAAGTTAAATTAATTAAAAATGGATTCCGAATTCGTATGAGATACATACATCAACCAAGAAAGAATCATCCCACACGAACGGCTCTGGGACGTCTAAAGCCAAAGTGGCGGCAAAGCAGACAGCAAGGAGGACGAGGAACTTCATCTTGTTCTTTACAAGCCTGAATCTCAAATTACTTGAAAATTTGATTTCAATAAAAACATCTCAACTCTCCCTCCTTATATACCTTCTTAAGTGTTCATCAAATTTTATCACGTCGGCTCGAGCACATATCAAACATTGTACCTCTACGTAGAGTCCAACAGACCTGCTCAATTCATGATCAAGGATTCTTTGGATTCAGATGGAATGATTAGGATGATATGAAAGTGTCAAATTTGGAATTTTATAATAATTATAATGTAATTGCTCACACACATACATACACATACAAACACACACGTACATACGCACACATATATACATGCACACATACATACATACATACACACATACATACATACATACGTAGGTTAAAACCAAAACATTATTATTATCATTATTATTAATCTTACTATTACTTGTCTTAATTCTTTATATTACAAATGGATTAACACTTTGATTGTACATACGTAGGTACGTAAACACGTACGTACATACATATATATATACTTACATACGTAAATACATACATTCTTACTGACATACAGACACACACACGCACACTCACAAACACAAATGCAAATACACAAAAACAAAAATAGGCATGTCGTCTCTTTCATTAAGGTAGTTTTATGACAACGTTTGAATAAACCAGCCAACGTGTCTTAATTTATTATTAGTTTTTATTTAGGCATGTATAAATTGCAAAGTTCCAAATCTAACCATGATTATTATTATTATCATTATTATTAATCTTACTATTACTTGTCTTAATTCTTTATACGAATTTAACTTATTTTATTTTACTTGTAAAACAAAATTCTGTTATATTTTAAAAAAAATGTTCATTCTTCCGAGTTTATTCCGAGTAATTAAATTTCTAAATGGGATTTTTTATACAAGTTTCTTGCCACAAATCCCTAAAAAGAAGTCTAATCAACTTTGGTGGAGAGAACCAAAAATTTAAAATGATTAAATTTTCACAGGAGAGGGAAATTCTCACGAGAAGGAACAAACCCTCACGGGGAGGCCAACATTTTGAAGGGGGGATTTTGTGAAAGTGTCGCTGCCGACATCTTTTTTGCCTATCACCTACAATTTTTCGTCGATTTTACACAGAAAACGGTCCTTTACCTGACTAACATTAAAAAACTGCTCACAGCAGCGGAAGCACTGGTCCCTCCGGTTCCCTCCTAGAACTGGCCCTTAGGTGTGGTTTAACCAGCAACCACCCATTACATAAGTGCAGCTGACTAAGATCTTTTTGCAATTGAATTCAATCTCTGCAACTGCAGTGTCAGGCACGTTAACCATTGCGCCAACGTAAAATTAGCAAAATGTGGTTGAAATAGCCGAAATTTTTTTAAAAAGTTTATCGAGACACGGACCAAAATGCAACAACTAGATGACGCCTGGCTATTTAGCCTAGTATTTAAATTAGTTTTAGTCTTAGTTGGTGGTGTATAGAAATACAGTTTAAATAATATATTTTAGCGAACTCAAAAATATAATTTTTATTTTTAATATTTTATAGAACACTTTAATTATAAAATGCATTCATCATATATTAAATAAGGAATAAATTATTAAAAAATTTCAACTCCAAAATGCATTCCTCATCTGTTAGATCCAGATTAAATTATCCAGAATAAGTTATCCGAATAAAATTATCCGTGCAATTTGCCCTTGTACTTGAAGTCAACGAGCTTGATGTGGTCGACCAGCCACTGCTTGGCGCCGGTGACTTTCTCCGAAGATATTGGCACTTGGGAGGCACGCAGCGTTGCTTCAAAGTCTTCGTGGATTCCTTTGTGTGTGGCCAAGTCAGCAAATTGGGCCTCTTTCATCATATCCTGTAAATATTGATTGAATTTGTTTTATTCGTTTCAACAGTTTTTAAATATTTTTTTGCTTGTAAGAAAAAAAAATGCGAAACCTCCTCAAATCTGAAATGTTTACCCATGACACTCTTCAAATGTGCGTAGGCAACTGCCTGAGATGGGTGCTGCTCAACGTCAGCGATGGCCTTGAACAATCCTTTGTGCTGCTCGTCCAACTTATCGTACTGTTCACAAATTATTAAAGTTATTACATATTCCTAACTGATGATGCAATAAAAAATGAAAAGAAATACTCACAAAGACCCTGAAGGACTCATTCCATTTGAATGGAGCTGGGATCGGTTCAGCCAAACAGACGACGAAGCAGGCAGCCAGTGCAATGAGGACCTTCATATTGTTCTTCCCGCTCTTCTTTTTCTAAGTTTAAATCTCAAAATGTTTGAAAATTTAATTTTAATTTGACCACGAACTCTCCATCCTTATATATTAAACAAAAGCACAAACTTTGTCTCGAAAAATTTCAAAACCTCCAAAGTTAAAATTTTTCCCGGCATAACGTAGCCTATAACAATGCATGGTTGATATGAGAACTGAACTACAGCTCTGCATTTAAAACTGGATCGTGGATTCGGCTCCTGCTAGGGTTTATCCTTGAGCACATTTTTGGTTCAGCCGTAAATAATTATTTAAAAATCATTAACCCATGTATTTATTTCTATGTTATTTTCAATGTCTATTTTGTTGTTATTGCATACTTGAAAATTTTATTCAGTTAAACTTCTCTCTCGCTATCGAACTTTGAATCTTTTCAAAAATGTGATGAATTTTGTTTTGTTAAAAATATGTAGTGAGTGTATTATAGGAATAACAAAATCAGACACATGTTGGCATAGGGACTGGCCTTGAGTCAATCCAGGCTCCAAGTGTATATGTATTCCAATCCTCTTATAATTATCAGTTATATGTAAGCAATCTCAAATCATTTCGTGTACTGAACTGTGTATGTTGTGCTATATGTTGCAATAACTCAATAGGTGACGCCGATGTGGAAGTAGATAATGTTGTTTGGGAGTTTTGTAAAGTTTAAAGATCATTTTTTTTATTGGTTTTAAAAAGTATCAGCAACAACACACACATACACACGTTTACACACACGCACATACACACACAAATACACACATAGACCCACAAACACACACGTACAGCACTAACAACTATGCCTAAAACATGGCATCAAGGTCAGAGCAATAGCAGGGACAGACGTCTTACAATTCTTTCATTTCGAGAAAGTTCTCATTGTTTGCCTGACTGACTCTGTCTATCTGACTGACTGTCTGATTGTTTGTTTATACCAACCGACCAACTAACCGACCAACCAGCCGACCAACCAAATGACCAATCAAATCGAATAGATACATGTAATTTTTTTTATTAACAATGTGTGTAACCCTATTTTTTTGTTAACATTTTTATACTTAGCCAAAAGTTATTTGTTCGATTTTATCTCAAAGCCTTAGATAGACAAATTGTTTCGTCTCGAAATTCATTTTTTTGTCTCGAAATATAGTTTATTTTGTTTCGAAATACTTTTTTTTTACAAATTATATGATTATAGCCACAAAGCTTGTGTGTGAATATATTTAAAAAAGAAAAGTGATAAACGAACGTAGATATAACTATCAAATTAAAATTTTTTAGATTTTAAAGCTGACTTATTATTGTTTGTATGTGTGTGTGGTGTGTGTATGGTATATTCATGTGTGTGTGTGTGTTTGTTTGTTTGTGTGATGTGTAAGTGTGTGGTGTTTGTTTGTATGTGTTTTTGTTTACTTATGTGTGTGTGTGTGTGTGTGTGTGTGTGTGTGCGTGCGTTTCGGATTAAGCACTAACTTTTGTTTTCGTGTTAACATAGATTAGAACTTGTATTTTCGTAGTCTAGATATGTTTAAGTTTTTATATAAATTTTTTTTAAAGTAAAAATCGACAAAGACAACAACTAGTTGAAAATTTCATGAGATTTTATTAAAATATTTTCATCTATATATAAAAATTATCGTTTAAGTAGGTAGGTAGGTAGGAAGGTAGGTAGGTAGGTAGGTAGGTAGGTAGGTAGGTTGTTATGCTGGCATGTTGTTTGTTGTAGGTTTAACTCTGGTTGAGTTTACAGTTTGCCCTTGTATTTGAAATCAATGCCCTTGATGTGGTTAACCAGCCTAGGGAAATAAAAAAAATTTCCATTTTAATTTTTAAAATTCGTTGAAAAATCTGATAAATTTTAATTAAATAAAAATCATGTAGGTGATAAAAAAGTTTGAATTTAAATTTTTCAAACTAAAGACTGGAAAATATATGCAATTGTAAAACTTCAACTAAAACAAACATAAAATATATAATTAAATAGATAAGATAAATTTGTTAATAAATAAAATTGATGAATATATAAACGAAAATGAAAGGATTTTATAAAAGAAACTGACCACTCCTTTGCGTATTTAACTTGATCACGGGTCACTGGAACGTGGACAGCGTCTAATTTGGCTTCGAAGTCAGCGTGAATTTTGTGATGTTCATCGTATTCTTCGTATTTGGCATCTTCCATCATTTTCTGAAGTGAAAAAATTATAACATTACGATGAATGATGATGAATTATATAGTGTGAATTATGAATTATAATTGTGAATTAGGATTCGTGTTTATAGTGTTCTGTAAACTATTGTTTGTAAATAATGAGTTGTGATTAATAAAATATGATTGAGAGTTCTGAATACGATGATTAATGATGAACTATATAGTATGGATTATGAATTATAATTGTGAATAAGGATTCTTGATTATGGTGTTCTCTGAACTATTTTTTGTGAATTAGGAGTTGTGGTTAATGAATTATGATCGAGAGTTGTGAATAGTAAACATAATTCACGATTATTAATATGAGAAGATCATAACGTTGTATTGCTAACTTTAGAAGAAAAATTGTTACAAATTTTTTCTTAAAATGAAACTAAACAAATCAAATGAAATCATAAAAATTAGGGAAAATAGACAAACAGAGAGAAAGGACAAACCTCCTCATCTCTGAAATGTTTCTCGATGACGTCATCAAGATGTTTCAACTTTTCGGCGTCTTCTGGGTGCCGGCAAACCTGGTAGATGGCCTCGAACAGCCCCTGATGCTGCTCATCAATTTTCTCGTACTGTTTCGTTGGTTCAAATGTAGAGTTTTGTGAAATTTAATTTCGAAACGAAAAAAAAAATTCTGAAATTTTAAAGATTTACTTTCTACAAAAATGTAACTAACAATTTTAAACTTTCTTTCTTTTTTTTAAATTTCTAACTAAAATTCAGCTTGAAAACTAACAAAAACTTTGAAGGACTCGTCCCATTTGAATGGTCTTGGGATATCAAAAGCCAAGCAGACAGCCAGACAGGCAGCTAATACAACGAGTATCTTCATGTCGATGCTGTTCCTTCCAACTCTGAATCTCAAATTGTTTCAAAATGTGATTCCAATGAACTTTTGTTAGTACCCCCGCCCTATTTATACTAATTAACACTTCAAAGGTTAATGAAGTGACAGCGTATGTGTTTGTGTCTCAGTGTGCGCCTGTATGTGTATGTGTATGTGTGTGTCTTTGTGTGTTTGTAATAACACGTAACAACGTTACAATGTTCATTTCAAAAGTCTAAATTGTTTTTCAGAATCTTGATGTAAGATTCGCTCGCCCGATGAACTGTCATTAAATTGAAATGGAACGAGGTTCGTCTGTTGGCGCGCGTGTGTTCGGTAGGTAGGTAGGTTTGTTTTAAGTTTATGTTGCATGTGTATATGTCTTTGTGTCTGTGTGTGTCTGTATGTGTATCTGTATCTGTGTGAGCATTTGTGTCTGTATGTCTGTGTTTGCGTGTGCGTGCGTGCGTGTGCTGCCTCTGTTTATTTGCCCTATCTAACTTTTTATATCCAATACTAACTGAATACTAAGTGAATTGTATTAACTTGAATAAAAAATATTTTGTTTTTCGCTTTAAAATAATTTATATTTTCAATTTAAAAATGCATATTCATTGAAGTTTGACAGTAAAAATAATTAATTTCATATGTGTATGATTATGGATTTTGTTAGCATATGTGCTCTACTATTTTACCTATGCATGTACCTTAGTACCTTAGTGCCTCTTATAATATAAGGTCAAAAAAACTCTCTCTTTTTTCTCTCTCTCTCTTTCTCTCTCTCTCTCTCTCTATTCCTCTTTCTCTCTCTCTCTTATTTGTATGTGAGTGTGTTTGTGTGTGTGTAAATGTAAGTAATGTCTTTGTGTGTGTGCGTATGTGTATTGAACTTCATCCGTTCATTCGCCAAATGATTAATTAATATAACGATGCAAAGTTTGAATTATTATATTATTATTATTATTATCACGCACATCCACATCCCACCACATAAATCGACACCAGAGGACACATACACACGCACACACACCAACACACACGTATTTACGGCAATACGTTCAAATTTACTGAATTCTTGTTTTTGAACAACTCTCCCAATTTCAAAACAAGAAATTGTTTTTTCAAAGTTTTCAAATTTGGTGGGAAAGGCGATACATACATCCATTTTTTCAATTCATTTGGAATAAATAAACCAGCAGGAAAGACATTAAAACCCAACTTTAATAGTCTAATTGATAAATTAAACAATACAATAATATAATAAATTAATTAAAAAATGTTTTCATTATTGCATAAGTCTACTTTTGTTCGAATACATTTCTAATTCAAGAAACTGTTTAGTCGACCAGTCAAATTTGAGATGGTACTTATCCACCAATTAAATTTACGATATCAATTATCCACCAATCAAATTTAAAATATCAATTTTCCACCAATCAAGTTTAAGATGACAATTTGCCCTTGTATTGGAAGTCAATGCCCTTGATATGGTTAACCAACCTAAACAATTAAAAATACATAAATTATTAGTATTAATGCTATAAATACTATATAGCGGTTTGCTAGAGTAGTAGTTAAGTTGCTTGGCTCTGCTGTTACAGTGTTGTTGTTGTTGTTGATGATGATGATATGACATCACAAAGAAATACTACAGAAAATTGTATAAATAAATAAGAAAACAAGCGCTAAGTAAGGATTCATCGTGGTGGTAAAGGAGTGGCCTGAATGTTATTTACAATTATCAAATTTTGCAAAATTTTAAATAAACTTTCGCCAAACAGACCAGCAACATGTTTCATTTAAAAGTTCAACACACCATTGTTGCTATCATAAGAATCGCAACAGAATAGTAACTACGATAGTAACACATTACAGCAGTAGCATCAACATGCAAACAATTGAATAAAAAAGTACCCTCCCTCCCTCCCTCCCTCCCTCCCCCACTACAACAAATGCACCAACCAATCCTTCATGAAAAAGATTTGATATCCCTGAACGGGTGTATGGATATCTTTGATCTCGGATTCGAAATCCGTGTGCATCCTTTTATGGGCCGGCAGGTTTGCGTAGCCCACTTCCTCCATCATTTTCTAAAAGTAAAAATTTATATCAACTTGTCGTTCACAAATTTTGGAATTCTTTAAAAAGGGGAAAGGTGTGTCCCTAAATGTCTCTCTTATCCACATCTACATCCATATTTTGGGGGTGATCCTGCCCTGAACTACCGTCTGGCAATTATTAATGTCTTATTTGGGGTAAGTTTGGCTTTGAAATCTAACTTCTTTTGGCTTAAGCCTTTGTTGCTTTTATATATTTCCGAGTTTACTTATTCTCATTATAAGAAATTTATCGGGATTTATTTAATATCTTTAATATAGTACATAAATGATACTAAATAGTAGTAATAATATGAAAAAAGAAAGTGAATACCTCTTCGAATCTGAAATGCTTATAAAAGAGATCTTCGAGGTGGGATATGGCCGCGCCGTCAGCTGGATTCGACTGGACATCTGCAATGCCAGTGAACAACTTTTTGTGCTGCTCGTCTAACTTATCGTACTGCCACATAATTAATTGATTAATTATGAATTAATTATGATCATAATTTTAAAAATTAATTATAGTTGAATATAAAAGTTTTAAAAATGACAATACCCTTCTAATTATAACTTAATTATAGATGATATTTTCATAATAATTGTAATCGTGTTATATTAAAAATAGAAATATAATATATACATACAAACACCCTGAAGCTTTCATCCCATTGGAATGGATCAGGAATAGGGTAAGCCAAAGAAGCGGCGACACATGCGACTAAAATGACTAAGACTTTCATTTTGGTTTTTCTACTGAATTTGATTTCGAGTTGTTTGAAATTCGATTTCAATGAAGATTCTGTAAATTTTCTTGCCTATATACCAAAAGCGTACATCAAATGTGCAAAGTTTTGTATAAAATTTCGATACTTTTCTTAAACTATTTTTAAAAAAAGCTGTTTGGCTATAGTCGTCTCAAAATATCTTGAAAAAATTTGTTTGGCTCGCTTTTTCACGGACGAATTCATATGAGATGTAATCTTTCGACTGTAGATTCGTGCTTGCTTGTTAATTTTAAATTATGTAATCGTGAACTAGAAGCATCAAACAGTTATTAAAGAATAGAATTAAAAAATGTTTGACAAAAATAGAACGTTGGTTTTCAGGATTCCGTCAACGGTTCAAGGCTGGAATGTACATTTTTGTAATGTTATTATGATTAGCACAGCCATCCTTGAGTTTGGTAAACAAGTTGTCAGTTATTTATAAAATTTGCAGAGATAAATTGTCAGAATGATTTATCATGGTTTGGTTATATGAAAATTTCGTGACTCTTTTGCTCTCTCTTTCTTCTTCTCTTCTTTCATTTCCTTCTTTAAAAATTAAAAAATGACGTTCTTAGCTTATTATTTTCCCGCTGATTTAGCTAGAGTTGAAATAAAATATTATATTATATTTTATATTATAATTTATTAGAATAAAATATTATTTTCCGAACTTTGTCATCACCATTCACTGTAAAATTAAGTAACTTCAATGACACCCTGACTGACAGCCAGATCAATTTTATTATTTAAAAAAATATATATATAAGGCGATTTCAAACGAAAAAATAACAATAAAAAAATGAATAAATTATGTTAATTAGCTAACTAATCAATAATAATTATATAATAATTATAATAATAATGATAATAATAATAATCAAACCAAAGTATTTATACAATGGTCTTTATTGACGAAAACGAGATTTTTGATATTATCGCAGTCAATAGCTTTACTATTGTTATTGTAATTATTATTATTATTGTAATTATTATTATATTTATTATTGTTATTATTATTATTATTATTATTATAGATACGTATATTAATGCTGACGTCATCGTCGTCGTCAAATGTAGTTAAGTCGTCGACGACGCTGTTTGGCCAAGAGTTGATGACGTCATTTAGGTTCAGATTTTCTTTGGTTAGTAGTTCTTTGGGGTTGTTTAGCTTCTGGAGACATCTATATAGAAGATATAATTATAATAAGATGGAGAAAAAGAAAATAAAAGAAAAAAAAGACAAAGAAGAAGAAGAAGAAGGAGAAAAAGAAGGAGAAAAAAAGAAGAAAAAAGGAAAAAAAGAAGAAGAAAAGAAGAAGAAGAAAAGAAGAAGAAGAAGAAAAAGAAAAAGAAGAAGAAGAAGAAAAGTGTTGAAATTATGACAGAGGTGACGGTGATGATGATGATGAAGACGACGGTGAAGATGATGATGAAGACGACGGTGATGATGATGCTGACTGATAAGGATGATAATAAATTATATTTATCAAAATAATTATGATCTATAATAATTATAATTATCAACAGACACCTTCTATCTTCGTCAGAGTTTGCCGACTTGCAAACTGCTCCCTTATTGAATGACGATCTCTCCTTACTGCGAACTTTGGAGGAAAAAAATTCTTCCATCAATCTATCAACTATCAATCCCTCACACACACGCACACACACACATAAACACACACACACATAAACACACACACACATACACAAATTACACAGACCTATATATATATATATATATATAAGAAAGAGAAAGAGTGAGAGAGAAAGTGAAAGAGAGAGAGATACTTTTCACACACACACACACACACACACACACACACACACACACACCCGAATAAACGTTTTTCTTCCACGCAATAATGAAAACAGTGAACGTGAGGACGATGACGACGACGACCACAGCCACCACACCGACCACCGCTACTATCCACAAAACGCTTGCTGCCGCTGACGCGCTTGTCGACTGAGAAGCTGCGATAATGACGATGGTGATGATAATAATATGAGGAAATAAAAGACATTTTTCTCAATTTCTTTTTATTTTATTTGGCTGGATGGATGATTTTGGATGGAGGAATGGATGAGTGATTGAATGGATGAATGAATGAATAATGAATGAATGAAGAAATGAATTTAATTGTTATTATTTTTGTTGTTTATATTAACATCTAAAAAATAGTTATAGCCATGGAATTAATGTTAACCTCCATTAGTGCCATAGATGAACGGGATAATTTTTGAGTCGGCTTCAATAGTTGAGCAATTTTCCAACCTGGACACCCCTACAACTTTGAAATGGTATAGTCCATTTTGTAGCTGACCAATAGTTAGCCAGTTGTCATAATGTGTCTCGTTGTATGTTATTACTTCGTCAAAATCGTTTGTTGTTGTGTTGTTGTTGTTGTTGCTGCACGGTTTTTCATTTAACCACGGGCAAACTTCTGACCAATCACGTCCATCTAAATTAATTTTAAAGATTAAAAAAACAAATTGAACTTAACTTTACTAGTAAGAGAAAAATAGAGGAAGAAAAAGAGAGAGAAAGAGAGAGAGAGAGGAGAGAGAAATAGAAAAACAAACGATAAAGAACAATAGAGAGAGAGAAAGAGAGAGAGAAATTATTTTAAAAACTTGGAAAACTTACTAGAATCTTGATCGTCCGCTCCAACATATTTATATCTGACACAAAAATCACTAGCTACATATTTATCATTACCAAATGATGATGACGACGATAGTGATGATGATGATGGTAGAGCTAATGGCGATAGTAGCGAGTGTGGTGCCGTCGAAGGCCACCACCCAACAAAAACCCTGTCATCTTCAAGCATTGATATGTTCCTTATCATTGGGGCATGTGGCACTGTGATTAAGAGTATTTTACATTATTATTTTTATTTTTGTTACTATTATTAATATTTTGTTATTATTTTTATTAATGAAAAATATTTTGTTATTATTTTTATTAATGAAAAATATATTTTTTTATTTTTATTTATTTAATAATTTGGATTCTTCACAGCCTTGGATCTCTTTGTTATCGAACCCAGTCAGTACGGCATAGCAAAAAGCCAAACATCTCTAAATCTCCAACAAAATCAAACTATCCGCATATAAAAAAATACAAAAATAAACATATATACAAACATAAATATGTATAAATTTATGAATGTATAACTTAACCAGCCTGAGAACTCTTTTGTAATCACATTAACTTTTGAAGCTTTCCCAACGTAATCTGTTAACGTTGTTAATGAGGTAACGCCTATGATGTAGTTGGTACTCGGTTTGAGGTATTTTACTTTGTATAAATAGATGTTTTGTTTGTTTGTATGTTTGTCAGTTCGTTGTTGGTTTGTTTGTTGTTGATTCGTTTGTTGTTGGTTCGTTTGTTGTTGGTTTGTTCGCTGGTTTGTTTGCTGGTTTGTCTGTTCGTTTTCAACGTTCAATAAAATCCTCCTTCTGGATTGATGTTCATTTAGTGGCAGAGGACTGGTTACGAAGTTTTCATCTACAAATTATTAAAAAAAATTATGCGTAACTATCAAAAGTTTTATAATAACAATTAACCATTATTTACCGATAATTAAAATTTCGTAATACTGGATATTCCCAGAATAAAATGGATTCTCCCGCCAGTAGAGTTTTACGTGCGTTGGTCCTATTTCTACCACTTTCAAATCAACTATGGATTTTGGCTCTGTTTGGATGGATGGATTGATTGATGGATGGATGGATGGATGGATGGATGGATGGGTGGATGGATAGATGGATGGGTGGGTGAATGGATGGATGAAAGAATGAGAGAGAAAAAAAATGAACGAACGAACGAGCGAACGACTAACAGACACAGACTAATGAATGAGTGAATGAATGAATGAACAAACACATTCAACACGAACCATCATCTTTAAGAACAAAGAATAAAGATTTCTTTGTTGGTCCCTTCTTTGTTGTCGTCATCACGCATACGTCTGCTAATAATTCTATGTTGGTCCAGATATTCTCAACTGTAGCGCTTATCTAGATATTTTTGGTTTTTTGAATTTTTTTTCATTGACTTTTTGTTTATTCATTCATTCATTCATTTAATCATTATTTAATTATCTAACTAATTATCTAGTTAATTAATTAAATCATTTATTCATTCATTCATTTTCTTTCTTTCTCTCTCTCTCTCTCTCTCTCTCTCTCTCTCTCTCTTTCTCTCTATCTTACTCAAACATATAAACATATTCACTACTAAAATTATACGGCATAAACTTTCTAAGACAACAACAAAAATAATAATAATAATGAAAATAATGATAATAATAATAATAACAATAATAATAATAATAACTTCGCCTCGTTTGTCATCAACATATCCAGGTATAATGCTATCAAATGCTAGACTAAAATCATCATCGTCGTCGTCGTCGGGATCGTAATTCTTATTATTGTTGTTATTATTATTATTATTGTTGTTGTTGTTATTATTATTATTATTATTTCGATGTTCTTCTAGTAAATACCCGCATTTTTTCTTCCTATCATTCGGTATGACGACTGTCTTTACTATCACGTTATCGGGATTCGAAACTTGAATGATTCGTAACTGTGAATGAATGAATGATTGAATGAATGAATGAATGAGTGGTGAATGACTGAATGAATGAATAAATGAATGAGTGAATGACTGAATGAGTGAATGAGGAAATGAATGAATGAAGAAATGGAAAAAAAGAATGACTGAATTTCTGTATCAAAGTTTCAATGCTTAACATATGAATGTATGAATGAATGAATGAATGAATGAATGAATGAATGAATGAATGAATGAATGAATGAATGAATGAATGAATGAATGAATGAATGAATGAATGAATGAATGAATGACTAAACAAACAAACGAATGAACGAATGAATGAACGAATAAATGAATTTATACCTGATAACCAATCACAAATGCTTTCAGAGAATTTTGCGCAGGTTGGTCCCACATAAATGTGACAGTATCAGATGTAGTATCACTGATTTGAAACTTCAAGTTACTCGCTCTCCACATTATTTCTATATTTATGTTGCATAAATATTAGTAATAATTATGAGTAATTAATTAAGTAATAATTAATTGGGTGAATAATTAACACACACACACACACACACACACACGCACACGCATACGTTGATTTTACAAATTCTCCACTAACTTTCTATCTCGCCAGAGAATCCGTATCTAAAGTCGTCGCTACTTAGTTCAACCTTACCAACATCATTGGCCGCTTGAACGATGATTTTGTATCTCTGAAATGTCGGCTGCCCGTGTATCACTAACTCACTTTGTGCGTGATTCCTAATTATTATCGAATTCATTTTTGATAAAGATTCCGCTAACGATGATGATGATGATGATGGTAGAAATGATGATGATGACGACGACGATGATGATGTTTCAAGGTCATTTCCGATTGGTTGATAATAAATGACGTAATGGAAGTTAGGGCCGTTGACGTCATCTTCAGATAGTGGCTGTGTGGTCGTTTTGGTTGGTTAATAAGCGCTATATAAATTTTCATAATAATAACAATAATAAAAACAATAATAATAATAACAATAATAATAATAATACCTTCCATGTGATGATCAGTTGATTTTGTCCATTCATTCTTACACATACATCAGTCGGATTTTTGCTGGGTTTTGAAGGTAAGGATTTGCAAAAATTGTTATTATTATTGTTATTATTATTATTATTATCGTTGTTGTTGCTGCTGCTGCTGCCGCTACGATCGTTGCTCTCGCCGATACCGTTGCTACAGCGAACCTAAGAAGAAAAACAACAGCCCAACAATAAATAAACTGAAAAATTAATAATAATTATTATTAATAAAATAAATAATTATAGTCATAATAATATTTAATTCTCGCCAACCTTGAAGGCGTAACTGTTCCAAGGCGTGATGTCAATAGTTTCGCGGACAACCTCGTACGAACGATAATGCTTCGTTCTGTTGATGTAAGTCAACTGCTCAGTCATAATTTCGATAATATCTTTGCCATAATTTCCATTGTTATAATTATTATTATCATTGCTGCTGTTGATGTTGTTGTTGTTATTGTTGTTATAACTGTTGCTGTTATTGTTGCTGTTGTTGTTGTTTTTCAGCTTAATTATGACGATTTGGCAGAACTTTATGACGTCATAATTATCGAATCCGACGAGCCAATCAAAGGTAGCAGTGTCAGACAGGCAGTTAAGGTTGCTGATCGTGGGCGGTTCTGGTTTATCTGGGGTGGGAAAGTTTTTTTTATTGGTTTTTCGTGAAATAACCCGATTCGAATCGATATTATTACGATACCGTTACGGTATGATATTACACGGTGGAATGCAGTACGTTTTAAATACAATGTATTACAATACAATACCAGTAAAATACAATACAAAGCGATAGGATACAACATTGTAGAACACAACACAAACACGAATCGATACAATTTACTACAATCAATTAGCTCGCCATACCATACAACTAGATACAAATACACCGATCCAAATTTACAAAAAAAAATTTGATTACAATTTCACTCAAACAAAAATACAAAAACACCCCAAGATACCTTTCAAGACAACATTAATAGCGTTAGAGAGCATGTTCTCATCAACATTAGCCCAATCAGTTCTGCACCTATACACGCCAACATCATCCACATCAGCAACGCTGATGACGATCTGAAAGTTTGATAATCTCTTAATCCTTTCCTGGTGATTAACATTCAATCTCTGATCATTTTTAAACCAGATGATTGGGATTGGATGGCTCGTCTCTGGTTGGTGCTGGTAGATGTTGTCGGGACGTTTTATCGGCGTGAAAGGGCAAATTAGGGTTAAAGGCTGGCCTCTCTTGAATGATATTAAACTTGCTGACGGAGCTACGCTTAATCGTTCTGTTTTTGATTATTTTTTGAAAAATTTTACAAAAGTTTTAATTTAATTTGGGCAATATATCTTGGTCATATATGTAAATTTATTTTTTATGTTTTTTGGTGTGACGTCATGGTGAAATGGCCGTGGTTTTGCTGTGACCGAGTTTGAATGCAGTGATTCACGTGTTTTTGTTGCCGATGTTTCTTTATAATAAAAAAAAACATTAAAAGAATCGTAATTGGTTAATTAATTTTTTAATTATTGAAAATTCTCTGTGCACCTCTGATAGTGAGAAGAGCAGAACTCGTTGCAACAGCAATCTTGTTGGAGGCAGTGCAATTGTACCAACCTTCGTCACTTTTCTGCACGTCCTGACAAAATTATTATTATATATTTTATTATTATAATAATTGTAAAATATATAATATTTTATATTATTAAAATTATAATAATTATAAAATATTATAGTTATAATCAAATTGTAATATGGTAGGGTGCAGTTTCAATGGAAAGTTATTAACCCGAATTATCACATGCTTGGCTGAGAAATAAAACTAGTATAGAAAGAGAAATTAACAAAAAAATTATAATTATAATAATATTTTTAATTATAATTTAATATATACCGTGATTTCCAATGACCCGTTGAGATGTTTGATGTATTTATTTGGGTCATGAAGGGCGTGGCTATTGGACGATTTCGACCAATGAACGCGAGGTAATGGCGACCCATTTACTTTGCAATGGAAGATGGCGTTTTTGGAGCGCATTCCGATTAGGAGTTCTAGATTTTTCGGCTGGATGGTTATAACTGGTTCGGATTCTGTGAACGGAGAAAAAGATTTGTCGGGCTCCATAAAATTATATTAACAATTTTTAAAAATTAAATCCAAAACCATTATACATTAGATACAAAACCTTTAGATGAGTGTGTGTGTGTGTGTGTGTGTATGTGTGTGTGTGAGTAAGAATGTGTGTGTTTGTTTTTGTGTGTGCACCTGTGTGCTTGTGTACTACACTCTACTTCAAATGAATCTCACATTTTAAAAGGAAAAAAATTGCCACCACAACATAAAATGCGGGCTAACCGCGAACAACGATCCTTATGTTAGCAAGGAGGTAGTCATGCTTGTTGCCAGCCACGCACTGCACGACGCTGCTGACGTCTGCAGTCGCTTCGTGAATTGTCAGCTCGTCGCCAGCCGCCACATACTTGGAGAGTTGTTTATTATTTGCTGTTGTCGTTTCTAATGAAGCTGTAATATGAGTTGAAAAGTTTTAATGAGATAATTGGATAAAACATCGAATACAAATCTACTCACTCACACACACACAGACAAACACACACACACGCAACCAAACCATCACACGAAGGTTTATAAATTAAGTAACTGAAAAACTTGGAACTGGAATGACGAGCAAACCCACTACTAACATAACGGCCTCCCATTAACAAACCACGCCACACGTGAACTTGGGACCGAATGAACTTGACACCTGATCGACACGTTCATGTCGCTATCTATCTCTAATTTTTGAGGTGGGGGTCCAGTGTTTACGGGCCAGCTAGGTGGCGCTAGAAAAATTAATTCGCGCTAGAAAATCTATTTCTTTTAGATGTGACTAACAAAAACTATATATATATATATATATATATATATATATATATATATATATATATATATATACATACATTTCACATTTATTTAACTTTAAATTCATTTTTTTCAAATTTCACCGACCCAAAATTGAAGAACTAACATTCAATACGGAGACTGATGTGACGACTTGCACGGTGACCCGCGACGCCACTGACCACCGCCCTACATTCATACACGCCAGCATCAGCAACATCCGCTCTCTCCAGATGCAGACGATTTCCGCTTGTCAGGAATTTTGATTCTTTTGTGCGGGAAATTATTTTATGCCACGTGACATTTGGAGTCGGGCTGGAGAAGAGGGGGGTGGTTCGAGGTGTTTAAATGTGGGGAAAAAAATGTGTAATAGAAATTGAAACAAAGCCAAAAAATAACAACTGAATGAATAGCTATCCTGAGCAATTGTTTAAAAAAATTAATCTTACCAACTAATTAACAAATTAATGAGCTGCCTAATAAGCTAATTAATTAAACAGTTAATTAACTAGTCAATTAATCAATTAAGGAAGTTTTTAAACGAACTAAAAACAATTTAATTTTTCACTCACAATCCGGCAAATATGCATTTAAGAGTTTTACTTCTGCCAGAGACTGCAACGTCATCTTCTGGTGTCGACCATAACAATTTGGGAGGTACTGGAAAAATATTATAACAAATAATTACAGTTTTATAATGTTACAGATAATTATAGTTTTATAATATATAATTAATAATAATAATGATTTTTTCGTAAACTTTTTCTTAATATTTTTTAAAAGTATACAATCGCAGAAATTATAGTTAATAACCATCATGATCATTGTTATCGCTAGCCCCGTCTGGCTCTAACAGACTGGAGCAACCGAAGAGGTAGATGTTTAACATCTCGTTAAAGACGATACATAGCAATTGCTTGCTATTGAGAATGTCGGATCGTCTGACATCACTGACGTATAGGTTTCCTGTGTGTGTGTGTGTGTGTGTGTGTGTGTGTGTGTGTGTGTGTGTGTGTGGGTTGTGGGGTCTGAATTCAAATGATTTAGAATAACTTTAAAAGGCGTTTTTTGTTGTCTTTGATTTTAATTTGAAACATAATACCTGATCGTATGTATGTATGTAGATTTATGTGTGTGTGTGTGTGTTTGTTAATTAAACTGTTCAATAAAGAAACACAAAACGGTAAGGATACTACAAAACTCAAAACTATACCAATACAGAAAACAGTAAACACAAAACAATACAAACATCACGCAGAGAATAATAAATACACCATACCACCTTGGAAATCTATATCGATTCTATGATCATCAATGATGGATTCTGGTAGAAATAAATCGTTCTTCAGGGCCCAGAAGATATTTAACCTTGGATGACTGTCTGGAAGATCGCATTTGATAATTAGGGGCTGGTTCACCTTGACCTTGTGTATTTGGGGAGTGCCTGATTTGCGGAACTCGTTCACGTCTGTAGAGGTTTCAGTTTCATTTGTTCGTTCGTTCGTTCTTTTATTTGGTCGTTCGTTTGTTCGTTCATTCTTTCATTCCTTCATTCACTCACTCACTCACTCATCCAACCGTCTAATTACAACGCATATTTTTTTTATAATTTGTGTTAATGAGTTAATAATAATAATAATACTAACAATAATAATAATAATAATAATAATAATAATAATAATAATAATAACGGTGAATTTATTTAGAAGACAGCACTAACAAGCCATAGAGACTGCAATGTATCTGGAGGCATAGGTTCCAAATCTTGTAGCAACTAAACATTGGTAGCGGCCAATGTGGCGAGTTGTGGCGTTTCTTATTGTAAGGAATCCATTGATGTCGTTGATGTGAATGTTATTGTTGTTGTTGATGATGTTGTTGTTGTTGTTGTTGTGTTTTAGTTGTTGTTTTTGGTTTCGCGAGTTCGATGATGCTATTGCGACAGATAGTATTTCAGAATCATTTTTCGTCCATGAATATCTACCCATAAGCAAGTACAAAAATATACATATGAATATCCATAACACAAAATATACAAAGTGAAAACATAAGAACGGACGCATAACAAACAATACCTAAATACAATTAAATATATCTAAATTATTATCTATCAATAGATAGCGTATCAATGATACTTATGTGGTGATACTAAAAGTTTAAGAACACATTCAAATGCAGAAATAGACACGTGATACAAATATATCTAGATATCTAGATAAATGGTAACTATATCTAAACCTATATCAACAATACCTATCGACAGATATAGTATCAATGATACTTCCGACTCTATCGTTACTTTTAATCAGGCATTTCAGAATGATCGTTTGGTCTTTGATGAAAATGATATCATCATCGCCATCTTCATAATCGTCATCATAACCGTTGTTGTTGCTGTTGTTGTTGTTGTTAATGTTGTTGTTGTTGTCACTCATAACGTTATTACCTTTGTTACCTTTTAAAAAAATTTTGAAATGACCAAATTAAAAAAAATATTTATGTTGTGTTTGTATATAAATATGTGTGTGTGTGTGTGTGTGTGTGTTTGTATGTATGTATGCAGGCATGTATGTTTATGAATAAACACAACTAATTTCATTTTGGTATGTGTGTGTGTGTGTGTGTGTGTGTGTTGGTATGTATGTGCATAATGAGATAACTACTAAAAATAATAGTAATAATAGTATAATAATAGTAATAATATAATAATGGTAATGATGATGATATTGAAAGCACTACTTACCAAATGATAAGGATGATGATTGAAGAAGAAACAACAACAACAACAACATCATCATCTGAAACAACATCATCATCTTCGGACTGGCAAGAGAAATGAAATGATGGTTGTTGTTGTTCAGATGGAGCGTTGTTACGTTATAACATGTTGTGTGTGTGTGTGTGTGTGTGTGTGTGTGTGTCTGTGTGTGCGTGTGAACGAATGAGTGAATTAATGAATGAATAAATAAATGGATGATTGGATGTATGAATGAGTTAGTGAATTTTCAAAATGGGTGAAATGATGAATGACTTAATGAGTGATTGGATAGAAAAATGAATAAGCTGTAGTAGTAGTGTAGTAGTAGTAGTTGTAGTAGTAGTAGTAGTAGTAGTAGTGTAGTAGTAATAGTAGTAGTAGTAGTAGCAGCAGCAGCAGCAGTAGTAGTTGTTGTTGTTGACGATAAGAAAGCTGACGAGTCGACTCCCTTGGTTTACACTTCATAAGCACTTTGATGGGAATGTCTGCGTGGAGATAATAATATTTGAAACTTAATTTATAGGAAAAACTAAAATATATAAATACATACATACATACATACAAACAAACATACATACATACATGAAAAACATACAAAAAACAAGCAGACAAACAGTTGAACGGAAATACAAAAAAAAAGAGAGAAAGAGAAAGAGAGAGAGAGCGAAAGAGAGAGAAAAGGAGGAAGAATGAGAGAAAAAAAAAAGAAAAAGTTATAAATCACATAACATATCCATGAAATTGGACGTAATAAGGATGTACATGAAGATGAAGATGTTGAAGTTGATGATGACGACGACGAAGATGACGACCATGATGATGATGACGATGACCAAGATGATGAAAACGATGATAATAATTTTCCATTGGTATAGCTTTGTTCCATCGGTTGTTTTGCTAATGGAAAGGTTTAGAGTTAAACACACACACACATACACATACATACGTGCAGACCACACTAATACACACACATATACATACGTACATACCATACGTACACACCTCCACACATACAAACATACAAACATACATACAAACATACATACAAGCAAGCATGTACAAGTACATAACATTAAAGAAATCGTAGTTGCAAGTGCAGTTATGGACAGTTAGCACTGCAAATTGAATCTAAAAACAAATTTAAAATGCACATGTTTTGCATACGGTCACAATCACGTACACACACACACTGATGTGTACATATACACACATACATACGTACATACACTACACACACACACACACATACATAGACATGCATACACGCACATACATACACATGCATACACACGCACATTCCTACAAACATATATACGAAAGAGAACTCCAAGACATATTTAAACTTGTTCCTTCACAAACATAGGCACGTACACACGCACATACACACGCAAACACACACACAAACAAACACACGCACACACATGCGTAATACACATTTAAAAAACCATAACAGTAAACACAAATACTTGTCACCATAGAATATAAAAACAAATAATCATCTCTTTTTTGATTTAAATTAAATTAAAATGAAATAATTAAAAACAAAGAAAAATAAACCCCGAAGTATTTTTTTTCACCGCACCTATTCTATGTGATTCAGTTGAGTTAATGAAGAGAGTTGCATTAATCAAATCAGATATGGATTAAAACTACACATGCATCCGTAGGTGCAAATTCATTGAGTGCGTGTGTGTCAGTGTGTGTGTGTGTATGTGTGTGTGAATTGCGTTAATAGATGCACTGACTAAAGTTCATATATTTGTATTTGAGGGTATGTTTTGAGTATGATAGTTTGTATGTGTGATTTTATTGTACGTTTGCAAGTATGTTTGTCTGTATGGGTGTATGTTTGTTTGTATGGGTGCATGTTTGTTTGTTTGTATGTTTGCACGTTTGTATGTTTGCCTGTTGGTTTGCATGTTCTAGAAAACCTTTCCTTCAACGACATGCTTTCCGCAAGAAACCATTTAAAAGAAACATAATTTGAAACTTTATCGTACACACACATCTGCATGCACAT